AGGGAGCCCGATGCGGGACTCGATCCAGGGACTCCAGGATCATGACCTGAGCCGAAGGCAGTCGCTTAACCAACTGAGCCACCCAGGCGCCCCTACCTAAAACACTTTAAAAGAACTTCATCTTCAGTATCAGGGACCAGCAAAATTTTTCTGTAAAGGGCTTGCCTGGTAGTAACTGTTTTCAGCTTTTCAGGCTGTCTGGTCTCTTGCAACTACTACACAGTACTGGAAAAGCAGCCATAAATAATATGTAAATGAATGGGCATGGCTGTGTTCTGACAAAACTCTTCAAAAGTAGTTGGTCACCTGGGCACTGTTTGGAGACCCCATCCTGCAGAATGAAGTCTGAGCTCCTTAGCATGGCAGGCAAGCTCTTGTAGGAGCACACCCCTCTCCACCTTGTGCTCACTGCCAGCCACTGCTGTACCCACCTCATCTTCTGAACACACTGTGTGGCTTAGCTCTTACTGTAAGTGACACTCTTCTCTCTGTTCATAATCCTCACATACATTTTCCCTTTGACTAACTTAGAATTCAAAACACAGTTCTTATAATTTCTCTTAAAACCTTTTGTTGATTCCTTCACCTGGGTTACTATCCATCCTCCTTGCTTCCATCTCTTAACTTGTGCTGGTTGCTGTTGCTATGCTTACCACAGTGTGGTGAAATCCCTGGACGCTGCCTTTGCCTTGAGATGGGCATGGGTTCAGTGACTTGCTTGTCTTTTATTTCCAGTACCTGGTACTATGCCAGACACAAGCTTGACACTCAGAAAAGGCTGAACTGAATTGAGATCCTGTTATCTAGCATTGTTGGGCTTGAGCAACGATTTCCCTGTTACATGAATTAATTTTTAACCTGGATCTACTTTGCAGATTGTGCTATGATGCATTTACAGAGAACATGGCAGGTGAGAATCAGTTGCTGGAGAGGAGAAGACTTTACCACTGTGCTGCATACAACTGTGCCATTTCTGTTATCTGCTGTGTCTTCACCGAGTTAAAATTTTACCAAGGTTTTCTCTTCAGTGAAAAACCTGAAAAGGTAGACTTCTGAAATTTTCACATTTGCTATCACTGTAGGATTTCAAGTTAGACTATATAAATTAAAGTTATATCATAATTTGCACGTTCTTATAATATTAAAGATGTAGCTCTTATAGTTCTGCATACATACATATACGCACACCCATATATATTAAAGCTGAAGTGCTTCCACATGAGTTATTAAGTAAGCATTAATTCTATAGTAGCATCAGCAATAAGGATTTCCACTATTCAGATATTTTTACATGATTCTTTGGATTTACAGAACTTGCTTATTTTGGAAAATCTGATTGACCTGAAGCGCTGCTATACATTTCCTGTAGAAGTTGAGGTGAGTGAAATTTTTCAGTGGGTTCCTGAGTTTAAAAAATTTACCAAGTACTTATAGAAAAAAAAATGTTATGTTGAACATGTTAAATTCTCAATATTCAAGTCTGCTTTGAACTATAAAATCTGGTAGTTTAATGTAGTTCAGCCCGAGGTATAATCTCAGGCAATTATAAAAAAAATTATCATAACTTGATTTTTCCCTTTCTTAACTAGTAAAAGATAGAAAATGGCAAAAAAGGAGCTATTCGGACATATCCAAGAAGTTGTTTGCTGAGTAAATTCCTCTAGTCAGTGAAATTGAGATCCATCCAGATACAGAATTATAATGCTGTGGCCTGCTTGGGTGATTTGGCAGGATAATGGAGGTGCTGTGAGCAGAAGTCATGGGGATAATTGGAAAACTTGCTGTGGCAAATGTGACAAGCTTGATTTTAGTCATGCTAAGTTTGACATGCCAGCCTCAGCAATTGGTGGGAGGTTGTAGGTGCAGCCTTTCACAGCCCACTGGAAATGGGAATTGGGCAGAGTGCCAGAGCTTGTGCACCATGGTCTAGGTCAGGAGCTGTCACTCATGTTAGTGTCCATGGCTGCTGACTTCACCATGTGTGAGTGGTTCATGAGTTCATGTAAACGGTTGCTTCCTGCCTTGTGCCCTTTTGAAACAAGACTGGGAACATTTTTCAAGGTGTATGTTCAAGGAACAAACAAAAATAGCACTCAGACACTCGCTATATGTTACTTCTGAACTTTACTATAGCGCTGTATAGTGCTATGATATACCATAACTGTATAGTTAAGGAAACTGAGGCTCATAGGTCAAGTACAGACTATTGGTAATCTGGGCATGTGGCTACCAGAACTTAGTCTGCACTGGGTCCCAGAGCCCAGAGCGGGGAGGCAAATGCCTCAGTGGGGTTCTGCGGGAAATGCGTTTCGTAAGGGTACTCACCTGTCTTTGTGGATACTTTTTGGTGATTTTAAATTTGATAAAAGTCTTGTTTAAAAATTAATTTTTTTTGCCAAATTGCTACTAAAATTGAAAATGTGTGATCATGATTCTAAAAAGTTTTAAATTGTGTATTTGTTTTGCCTTAATAGGTTCCTATGGAAAGAAAGAAAAAGTACATTGAAATTAGGAAAGAAGCCAGGGAAGCCACAAATGGGGATTCAGGTAGGATGTTTTCAAAATGATGAGAATGATTCCAATTTGTTAAGTAACAAATGGTATTTGCTATGTAAATAAAAAATATTTTAAATATCCAAAAACATTGAAATTGAGTTTGAAAAGATTTTAAGTGGCAAATAGAATTATATTTTGAAAGAAATGCAATGAGCTAAACCTCAGAATGGCCAAAGAGGGCTGAGAAATGGTATGCTTTTCTTAATAGTGCAAGATAGGTTGATAGTTATTTGTTTGCATATGGATTATATTTATATTTTGTTTAAATACATTCAGAAATGTGTTAAAATATAAGTCCCATCCTGCCACTCCTCTGCTCCAAACCTCCCATCAGCTCCCACCTCCCTGAGGACAGAGCTGCCTAAGGCCCCTGACCTGCCTGCCTCCTCCCTGCCACTCTCCTTCCTGCTTACTCTGCTCTAGCAGCACTGTTCCCCTGCCTATGCTTGTAGGCACCAGGCTCACTTTGGCTCCAGGGCATTTGCATGTGATGTTTCCTAAACCTACAATAATCTTAGTCCCAGATATCAGCGTTTTGTTTAATACTAACCTTTGAAGGAAGTTCTCCCTGGCTTCCCTATTTAAAATTAACTGTCTCTTGCTCCGCATGTGCCTTGTTTTAGTTTTTTGCTTAATTTTTCTTCATAGCTTTTTTTTCTTGACTTGAGAATAAAATTTGAACCAGTGTTGTAAATTCCTTACATATGTAGATTGTGGATTAGTTGTTTTTCAGTAGTATCTTTTCCCACATCTGTGTTAGACTTTATGTGCAAACTGTACCCCCTCAAAATTTTAAATGCAAGGAAATTATGTTACTGTCATATCCAAAAATTGTGTATAGTTTAACTTAATTTCTCTGTCCATGATAGTAGAGAATAATTGCTCAATAATAACAAAACCAAAGGAGGTCTTTCCCCGTTTCCTTTTGCTTTGTTAATCTGGATAATCTGTTGAGAATCACAGAAAAGAAAAAAGCCTTAGTTAACACAGTCTTTTAATTTTAGTATCATTTGAGCTTAGAGAAATACATTTTTTTATCAATTTAAATAAATATATTTTCTTCTTTATATTTCAGGTGGCCCTCATTATCTATCTTCCTTGTCATATTTGGCAGACAGCAGCCTGAGTGAGGAAATGAGTCAATTTGATTTCTCAACTGGAGTTCAGAGCTATTCATACCGTTCCCAAGACCCTAAATCTACCCCTGGTCATTTTCGGAGACAGGTGATCACATTTTGTATATTGAAAAATATTGTTGGCATTTGTAAAGGAAGGGGGGCTTCATTGTTAGGGGAAGCCAGTTCTCTGTGGGTAGTCCTCAGACAATAGCATTTGGAGAATTTACCAGGATCTAAGTCCCAGCCTTCCATCCTGTAGGCAATTGGATTTCATCAGTAGGATGAAAGGAGGAAAGAAGGCTCTCTCCCAAGGGCTGATTCACATTAGCCAGTCTCCATGAAATTAGTGTTTGAGGGGCGCCTGGGTGGCTCAGTCGTTAAGCGTCTGCCTTTGGCTCAGGTCATGATCTCAGGGTCCTGGGATCAAGCCCCACATCAGGCTTTCTGCTGGGCGGGAAGCCTGCTTCTCCCTCTCCCACTCCCCCTGCTGTGTTCCCTTTCTCGCTGTCTCTCTCTCTCTCTTAAATAAATAAAATCTTGAAAAAAAAATTAGTGTTTGAAATCAGAACTGCATTTAAGGGTCTCCGGTGAGAAAGATAACTACTGTAGAGACTCAAATACCATGCTGATGTGACTGTTGTATTATCCTCTGTGGAAAATGAAGAAGCTGCTCAAATATTTGATGTTATCAAACTGAAATAACTAAATGCATCTGTGTTCATAAATGATAGCTTAACCTCATGAACAGAGCTAGGAAACGTGTTGGTAGATACATATCTGTGCACTTACAGAGGCACACCCATGTGTACAAATGTGTAAAACCATGAGCTCCAAATGTGTAAAACCATGAGCTCCTGGATACCAAAAATGGTATCCAGGGTTCATTCAAGTTTTTCCCTTTCTGGTTTCTTAGACATGCACTGACGCACCTCTTCCTTCCCTCAATCCCTCTGCTGTCCTCTGAACACTGATGCCTTCCTGGAGTGGGTCCTGAACCACAGGCAGGCACCCCACTCTCTCCCTCCCCACTCCCAGACACTGCCAGGCAGCTCTTGTCCCACTCTGGTCTGCCAAAGTGGCTTTTTGCCTGAGGAGGACAGGAGCAGTACAGTGTTTTTGAAGTTGAGTTTGACTGTACTTTATGTTGCCCCTATGGTGGGCTTCTTCCTTTTTAATGAATGCTTCAAGGAGGAGCCCATTCATTAATTCTTTCACCCGGATTATGTCGTACATCTGTGCTGGGCATTAAAAAAGTACAACTTTGTTCTATTATGACTACATTGTCTAGTGAGACTCATCCTTCATGAATAGGCCATTTACATTGAGGCATCTTGGGTTCAGTCCTCATGCCTTCAATTTGACTGCATGACTTGAGTCTCCATTTTCAGATCTATCCAGTCCTTGTGAGAAGCATCCTGACAAATAATTTTGGCTGAAAAACATGTCAAGTAGATCTGAATGCAGTCAGATACTGTGATTAATTCCTTTGACACCTTACCAGGTATATGGAAAAAGGGACATTAAGATTACTCTGATTGATTTTTATGGCTCATTATTTTTTTTTTGTTTCTTATAACCCTGATTGGATAAAATTTACTGTTTATTATTTACAATTTATTGTTCCACTGTGTGTGTGTGTAAAATTTACTATACGTGTATGTAAAACTTCAGTTCATCATTACACTTATAAAATGATTACCTCTGCTATAATTTCTAAGAATTTTAGGATCAACAGTGGTTTAAAAGTTTTGTTCTTTTATTGATTAAAATTTCAAGGCAAATTAAGGATTTTACATTTTTTAGTTTACTGAGAAAAAAATATAGGTGAAAATTTATCTTACAGTTGTGTTTCAGTAGTTCTGCTTTCTCCATAATGTGGCAACTAAGAATCATGGAGACTGTTGCTCTCAAGGTGTTGAGAGTTCTGGGGCCTCCCCGGACACAAACATTTGGAAAGATCTTAGTGTTTGTACAAAGCAACGTGTGTCCACATGGATGGTGTGAACTAAGTATGACCCCGGGGGGAGTGACCATGCATATAAAGATCAGAGGGAAAATATGTATCTAGAATGTAAGGAAGACATGAGGTCTTGGGTTTTTTGTTTTTTTTTTTAAGTTGTTTAATAAGAAAACCCAACAAATGTGTTTAATATTATTACCAATTTATCATTGTTACCTTACTGTGTGTTTTATGATATTGCCCCAAAAGGCAGAATATCATATACACTAAAATTTTAAGTTTACTCTGCATCATTGGATTCTTCCCTTTTCCTAGGAGCATAAAGACCCCATGGTCCAAGATGCTGTCCTAGAGTTAGAGATGGATGAGCTCAATCAACACGAATGTATGGCGACCATGACAGCCCTGATTAAGCACATGCACAGAAATCAGATACTACCTAAAGGAGAAGAGGTTTGTTTCTGCTAATCTTGTCTCATTTAATACTGTTTATTGGTATCATAGTAAGAATGAACACTTAATATCGAATACCAAATTCTATATCTACTAAACATTTTTTGTTGCTCATGTCTTACTTTGTCATCTCATAATATCAAAATGTGAAGTTATTTTCTTCCACATTTTAAGGTACTCTTGAATGTATCATTTCAGGGTTCAGTGCCAAGAAATCTTCCTCCGTGGATGAAATTTCTTCATGACAAACTAGGAAATCCATCAGTATCATTAAATATCCGTCTCTTCTTAGCCAAGCTTGTTATTAATACAGAAGAAGTAAGTAATTTATTTTTTGCTTAAAAATTCTTTGCAATTAGTAAGAAGTTGGAAGAATAGGAGGATGCTAAGTTTGTCTCGTACCTCGAATGCAACTAGATAGTTACCAAATCATTCTGAACACCTGGGAAATCAGTAGGAGATCTGAGAAAACAAATGCTGTAAGTTTACCAGTAGAAAAATATGACCACAGGGGTGCCTGGGTGGCTCAGTCAGTGAAGTGTCTGCCTTCAGCTCAGCTCATGATCCTGGGATCCTGGGATCGAGCCCTCAGTCGGGCTCCTTGCTCAATGGGGAGCCTGCTTCTCCCTCTTCCTCTGCCCCTCCCCCCCATTCCTGTTCCCTCTCTCTCTCTCTCAAATAAATAAGATCTTTAAAAACAAATGACCACATTTTGGAAGGTAGGAGGTATGGAGACTTGAATCCAGTGTGATATAGCTGAGGATACGGCTGAGGGGTGGGAGCCTGCTTAAAGAGAATACCACAAAATATTAATAAGCAATGGAATGCAAAATCGGAACTTTTAGAAGTCTGCTACAGTGGGGCATGTTCCTGGCTTAAAGGTGCTCAAATGGTGAAGCAGGGCAGAATTCCAGGTGTGACAGCGTGCTCTCAGGATCCCCGGGGTCTCAAGAAGAACAGGTGGTGCCTGAGTGTGGCAGAGTTCCTAGGCATAAGAGCAGGGAAGCCGGCTTAGAACAGTGAGTTAGGTGCCGACTTTCTCCTCTGTGTTGCCATTAAGTGTGTAGCAGTCATGCAACCACTTTCCTGGGAGGGGTCCAGCAAAAAGCAGAAATGTGGTAAGAACCACCCCCTCCCCCAGAAGAACAGCATGGGTCTGCCCCACAGGAGTCCCTAAAATTTGGAGTTTTGAAACTCAGTCTTGTGCCTGAGATAAAAATGCCTGGTCACAGGGCAGGTGAACACAGAGTTCTCATGGAAACTGGGGAGACAAGACTGATTGGTTGCTTCTCTGTGAGGGCTCACTGAAGAGTGGAGGGCGTCTGCATATTCATCCTGCCCATCAGTGCTGAAAGCCTTCGGGGAGCAAAACAGTGCCACCTAGTGGAGTCCAGAACTGCTTACACCAAGCCCTACCTCTGCTCATTGGAGGTGTTTTTTCACTAAGGCAAGTCCACCTGAGAATCAGTGCAATAGACCCCCCCCGCCCCGCAGAAGACCAGCACAAACAACTCACTCTCACCAAGTTTATTAATCATAGAGGGTTACAAAGCTTCAGCTTGGGGAAAACACTACATAGCATTCTTCACATTTTTATTCATTAGTCTTTTAGTATTCCTTTTTGTTATTTTCTTACTTTTCCAAATCTTTTCTTATTCTTTTAAATTTTTATCTACATATATGCTTTATATATTATTTTTGCTTTCTTTCATTGTATTTTATTTAATAATTATATATGCATATAGATATAGATATATTTCTCTTTCTTCCTTTCATTCATTCATTCAACATATTGGGATCTAGTTTCTTTTAACAAGACCAAACACAACCAGGATCTACTTTTTTTTTTTTAAAGATTTTATTTATTTATTTGACAGAGAAAGACACAGCGAGAGAGGGAACACAAACGGGGAGTGGGAGAGGGAGAAGCAGACTCCCTGCCGAGCAGGGAGCCCGATGCGGGACTTGATCCCGGGACTCCAGGATCATGACCTGAGCCGAAGGCAGTCGCTTAACCAACTGAGCCACCCAGGCGCCCCAACCAGGATCTACTTTTATGTTTTGTTCAGTTTGTTTGTTTGTTGTTTTGTTTTCTTTTTTCTGTCGTCATTGTTATTGTTTATTCTCCTTTCTTTTCTGGACAAAATAACAAGACAAATTCACCACAAAGGAAAGAACAGAAGGTAGTACTCACTCCCAGGGATTTAATCAATATGGATATAACCAAGGTGTCTGAACTAGAATTTAAAACAATGATTATAAAGATACTAGCTGGGCTTGAAGAAAGCATTGAAGACACTAGAGAATCTCTTACTATAGAGATAAAAGAACTAAAATCTAGTCAGGCCAAAATTAAACATGCTATAACCAAGATGCAGTCCCAAATGGAGACCAAAAAAAGAGGATGAATGAAGCAGAAGAATGAATCAGTAATACAGAAGATAAAATGGATGGAAAATAAGGAAACTGAAAAGAAGAGGGAAAGAAACCTATTAGATCAAGAAGGTAGACTGAAGAAACAGCGATTCCATAAAGCAAAATAATATCCATATTACAGGAGTCCCAGAAGAAGAGTGGGAGAAAGGGGCAGAAAGTGTATTTGAATGACTTACAGCTGAGAACTTCCCTAAACCGGGGAAGGAAATAGGTCTTTAAGTCCAGGAGGCACAGAGAGCCCCCCTCAAAATTAAAAATAGATCAACATCTTAACATATTATAGTGAAACTTGCATATTACAAAGATAAAGAGAAAATCAGGGTGCCTGGGTGGCTCAGTCGGTTAAGCATCTGCCTTCAGCTCGGGTCATGATCCCAGGGTCCTGGGATTGAGTCAGTCCCATGTCAGGCTCCTTGCTCAGCAGGAAGCCTGCTTCTCCCTCTCCCTCCAGTGGTGCTCTCTAATGCTCATTCGTTTGCTCTCCCTCTCTCAAATAAAGAAATAAAACCTTAACAAAAAGATAAAGAGAAAATGCTGAAAGCAGCTTGGGACAAGAGGTTCTTAACCTACAAGAATAGAGGTATAAGGCTGGTAGCAGACCTGTCCACAGAGACCTGGCAGGCCAGAAAGGACTGACATGATATATTAAACGTGCTAAATGGGAAAAATAGCAGCCAAGAATACTTTATACAGCAATGCTGTCATTCGAAATAGAAGGAGAGAGAAAGACTTTACATGACAAACAAAAACTAAAGGAATTTGTGAAACTAAACGAGCCCTGAAAGAAATATTAAAGGGGATCCTTTGAGCGAAGAGAGAGCCCAAAAATAAAGATCAGAAAGGAACAGAGACAATCTACAGGAACAGTGACTTTATAGGTAGATAATACAATGGCACTGAATTCATGTATTTCAAGAATTATTCTGAATGTAAATGAACTAAATGCTCCAATCAAAAGATATGGGGTATCAGAATGGATAAAAAAAAACAAGACCCATCAATATGCTGTCTACAGGAGACTCATTTTTAGACCCAAAGACACCCCCAGATTGAAAGAGGGGGTTGGGGTGCCTGGGTGGCTCAGTCGGTTAAGCAGCTGCCTTCGGCTCAGGTCATGATCCCAGAGTCCTGGGTTTGAGCCCTGCGTCAGGCTCCCTGCTTGGCAGAGAGCCTGCTTCTCCCTCTCCCTCTGCCTGCCTCTCTGCCTACTGTGCGCTCTCTCTCTCTCTCTGTCAAATAAATAAATAAATAAAATCTTTAAAAAAAGAAGAAACTGAGGGGATCGAGCACCATTTATCATGCCAGTGGACATAAAAAAAAAAGCTGAAGTAGCCATCCTTACATCAGGCAAACTAGATTTTAAACCAAAGATTAATAAGAGATGAAGGACACTATCTCATAATAAAAGTGTCTATCCAATAAGAAGATCTAAGAATTGCAAATATTTATGCCCCTAACTTGGGAGCAGCCAATATATAAACCAATTAATAATAAAATTAAAGAAACTCTTTGATAATAGTACAATAATAGTAGGAGACATTAACACCCCATTTATAGCAATGGACAAATTATCTAAGCAGAAGATAACCAAGGATACAAGGGCTTTGAATGACACACTGGACCAGATGAACATAACATATATTCAAAGCATTTCATTCTAAAGAAACAGAATACACATTCTTCTTGAGTGTACTTCCCACATACTGGGTCACAAATCAGGTCTCAACCACTACAAAAAGATTTGAGATAATATGCATATTTTCAGGCCACAATGCCATAAAATTTGCAGTGAACCACAAGAAAAACAAATACATAGAGGTTAAAGAACAGCGTACTAAAGAATGAATGGGTCAACCAGGAAATCAAAGAAGAATGTAAAAAATACATGGAAGCAAATGAAAATGAAAACATTACAGTTCAGAACCTTTGGGATGCTGCAAAGGTGGTCCTAAGAGGGAAATATATAGCAATACAGGCATTGCTCAAGAAACAAGAAAGGTCTCAAATACACAACCTAACCTTACACCTAAAGAAGCTGGGAAAATTACAGCAAATAAAGTCTAGATCCAGCAGGAGAAGAGAAATAATAAAGATTAGAGTAGAAATCCATGATAAAAAAAAAGTAGAACAGATCAACAAAAGTAAGAGCTGGTTCTTTGAAAGAATTAATAAGATCGATAAACCCCTAGCCACACTTACCAAAAAGAAAAGAGAAAGGACCCAAATCAATAAAATCATGAATGAAAGGGGAGAGATCACGACCAACACCAATGATAGGCAAACAATTATAAGAGAATATTATGAGCAGTTATATGCCAACAAATTAGGCACCCTGGAAGAAATGGATACTTGCCTACAAACATATAAACTACTGCAACTGAAACAGGAAGAAATAGAAAACCTGAACAGACCATAATCAGCAAAGAAACTGAATCAGTAATCCAAAATCTCCCAACAACAAGAGTCCAGGGTCAGATGGTCCCCCAGGGGAATTGTACCAAACATTTAAAGAATTAATACCTGTTCTTTTGAAACTGTTCCAAAAAAAAAAAAAAAAACAAATGGAAGGAAAACTTCCAAACTCATTTTATACAGCAAGCATTACCTTGATCCCCAAAAAGGCAAAGACCCCACTAAAAGGAGAATTACAGATGAATATCCCTGAGGTACATGGATGCAAAAATTCTCAACAAAATACTAGCTAATAGGATCCTTCAGTACATCAAAAGGATTATTCACCATGACTAAGTGGGATTTATTCCTAGGCTACAGGGGTGGTTCAGCATCTGCAGATCTCTCAAGGTCATACACCACATTACTAAAAGAAAGGACAAGAGCCATGTGGTATCCTCAATATATCTCTGACATGAATGGATAGAGGG